TTTTTTGCAGAAGCAAGCAGGCAACTCCCTCAAGAAGAAGCTCAAAAGTCGGCACAGAAAATCTAAGAGCTTTCACAAAACGGTGAATGGGAATGATGCCATGTGACCATCTTGAGGTTGCACCTGTGATTTCCTTCAAAAACATTAAATGCCACTTATACTCTTTTCATGTGCAGTTAATAGATACCTTGCATAGGAGCCCAGATAATATATGTGTGGTTCTTGCCAGCACCGTTGTTTGTGGACTTTTTAAAAAAACCCTCCTGTACTTGATCGCTTGCTGAAGGCAGTTTTTCCTTGCTGTTGGGGGGCACAGGCAAGATAGGTATCTAGAGCCTGACTTTGCCCAGTGGCTGAATTCTGCTGGGGGTGTGTGTGCAGACTTGACTGTGTTTGGGTCAGAGCATTCGTGTGTGGAACCGAAAAGATGGTCCTGAGCCACTAACAGCAGCACTTTCCTCTGCCCTGAGGAACCTTTTGCTCCTGCAGCAGCCTCCAACACAAACCTTGTACATGCCTCTTAGTCCTTGTGCAATTCAAATTCTCTTCCACCAATGCATTATACAGGAATAGAGCCACTATGAGATGCAGATCCCTATAGAAAACTGTTGCATTTGGGATCTCTAGAGCAAGACCATGGCACAGAAATCCCTCCCAGTTGCTCCAGGCGGGCCCTGGAGCTCTCCCGGAGTTACAACTGGTCTCCAAATGACAGAGCTCTGTTCCCCTGGAGAAAATGGCATTATGCCCTACTGAGGTCCCTCCCCAGGCTCCACCCCCAAATCTCTAGGAGTTTCCCAACCTATAAACAATGGCAGGTTGTAAACTTGCTTAGCACATTTGCTGGCTTTCAGCAGGTGCAGTGATGGAGAACAGTGGTCCGAGTTCAACTTCCCTGGGGGCTGTTCAGCCCTCTTCCCCCAACCAGAAGGCCCCCACTACTTGGTGAGGGGTCATTGTGCCATGAGTCAAGATAGTGTAGGGTTACCAAATACCTACCGCGAAGCAGCGGGGGACACATAGTTCTTGGTGAGAACATCCCCGTGAGGAAAACACACACGTTGCACTATGCTGTCGCCCCGACATGACGTAGGCACGTAGCCGGGCGATGCTGTAGCAATGGGGCTGAAAACTTGATGGTACCATTGAGTTTTCAGCCCCATTGCCAGAGCGTCGCCGGGCTACATGCCCAGCGTGCTGACGTCTCGTCTGGGCGACAGCATAGTGCGATGTGGGTGTGTTACAGGTAGGAATGTTCCGGTGGGAAGCATGTGTCCCCCGCTTGCGGTAGGTACTTGGTAACCCTAAGATAGTGCCACAGCATCCTCCTGCTGTCATGGGTCTGGAGGGCAACAGCCTTGCACACACCTGCAAGGGCAGCTGATTCAACAGCTGTCCGTAACCACCCAGGGCTATTTCTCGGGGGGGGGGGGGGGGGGGCAAATAAAAAAAGG